CACACACACACACACACACACACACACACACACACACACACGTACATATATTAATTGTACTTATACTACCTGACACTAATAAACTATTTCTACTTTTACTTTTGTAAAGAAAAATTGGTTCTTTGGAGAAAGTTCTTGACTTTTGTGATGAAACATTCCTAAGTTACATAAATCTGTGACTATTAAAGTCAAGGGTGCAAAATGATATCAACACACAAAACATAATAAAACATCTTCACATACAGATACAGTCATTTGTGCTGACATTCTCAGCAGGCAAGTCCTCAAATCAGGGTCAGATAAGGGTTCTTTTCTCTTTCACAGCCAGCATGACCCCTGTTTAACAACTTAACCTTTTCACTTTCTAACAGTGTTACCCTGAGGGTGAAATGAGATCCATTCATCCTTCATTTGGCATGAACAAGACTAATACTGAGTTTGAAGAATCAGTATCCATTAAGAGTCTGCCAGCAAAGACAGAAGACCACTGAGAGAAACTCTCGACAATCTGGGGATGATATCCAAGCCATGTTACTCAAAATCAACGCTAACAAGCCTCACGTGCATGTAAAAGATGCATAGCATAAATAAAACAAGTTTTGACTTATAAATGGAGGCAATGAAACACACAATACGTTTGTTACATTGTATACCAACTTTACAAACACAATATTGTCCTTAAGGGCATTATAGGTCAGCAAATCTTTCTGATGAGCAGACGTTCGGTAATTTCCAGGCCTTTCATCCTGTGCCAACACACTGAGATAATCAGCTCTCCATGAGCGCAGTGCAAAACAGCACCACAAGCTAAGCTGGGATGGCAAGGGAGCATCTTATTTCTACAAAGGCAAACACAAACACAAGCAGAGGTTCAGAGGAATCATACAGTGCTGCAGAAAGAAGGAACCGAGCCAGAATATTCCCTCCACCACAATCATAAAGTGAGGCAAAACGTTTAAATGCAAAACGAGCTGATTAAGGCTAACGAAGCTTGAAGGGTGGCTAAAAATACTCGTGTCCACTTGCAGAAGGAGCAGCCTGTGATCATCTTTAAGTGAAGTTTGGCTGAAATTACGTTTGGCTTTGAATAGAACGCAAAGGAGGTGTTTGCCATTTGAACATTCAAAATAACACACAACTGCCATTCTACAGCCAATTAGCTACAACTACAAAAACAATAAAATCAATTAAAAATGGCTTCCATAAATGAAGGACTGGTTTACATGCTCTACTTAGAGTGTGTGAATTATTCAATGACTTTTGCGCAAACCATGAACTAAACGTGTAACGTTTTTGACATACCTGTTATGTAAATTTATACTAAAGTGACAAATGATGACATGACTTTTGTTTTATCGAAATACCATCCCATAATAAACGCTGGAGCAGCTGTTGCTATGGCTACCTCCTTAGGCAAACATGACTAATTTTCACGAATGTCTGTTTTATCAATTTACCAGCTGAAAATGTTTATTTAAAGAAATAGTTTTGGCTGGTTTAAGCTGGTTTTCAGCTGGTCTCTCAGCTAGACAACTTCCAAAATCCCTCTAAAACCAGCAAACTAAATTAAGCTAAGTTTAAGCAGGTTTTTTGGTTACTGATACACTAACTCTTGACATGTAAAAGACCGTTTAGAACCCACAATGCTTTCTGTAAGACAGATTTAACACTAAACAAAGAATATCTGTGATTTATCTGCTCAATAAACCCACTGACTGTCATTTTTTAGATATAAAATGATGCTGTTTTTCGCTACACTGGTTGGTGCAGGCCTGCTGTCTGCTAGAACTTTGAGGCAAGGTTAACAAATGCACGAGCACTTATCGCCTTAAATGGTTCAGATCTACACACAGCAGACAATCGCACATGCTACACACACACACATTAACACATGATATTACAAAGGACCACCAGGCGCTAGAATTAAACGGGAAAAAGGAACATTAGCAAACAGTTCACTCAATTCCGTTTGCTTATGTCAGATGCCAATATTCTCAAAATGATACACGATACAAATATTACATGCCTGTGTTTCTGGCCGACTCCAAATCACACAGTGCTGCATTAAATTCCGTAAGAAAATTACCAGCTTTGAGCCACTAATAATTGGTTTGGCCAATACTGATACCATTAAGTTATTTTTCCCCTAACTAATACAATTTATTGGTAGACCCAATGTTAAACATACAATAACCAATGAAGATCCAAGCATCGGTAAAAGAACAATATTTGTACAAATATTAATGAATAAATATGCATGAATAGTATATGCATTATTACACACATTATTACATATATATATATATATATATAAATATTTGTAAATTGTGTTTTATAGTTGTAGTCCAGTAATTGAAAGGTTGGGAAAATCCAATATATTTGCATTATCTGTCTTTTATGTTTGAAATGCAATAAAAATCTGGTTAGAAAATAGAAATGGCAATAGAAAACTACAATTAGAAAAGTTCGGGATTATTCGGCATCTAAACATAAAAATTATATGAATGTAGCATCAGCCAGAATTCAACTTCGTTGCTGTCATGACAAGACCATAGTTAGAATTCATATTTTCAGACAGCCATCATTTGATGTTTCTATATTCATAATTCCATATTAAAAGCCTAAATTCTATTAAGATTAATATCTAATAACTATATCTGTGATATCCTGGGTAAATTAATTTATGCAGCATTAGACTGCATCTTTTTGTGGTATAAATGCAGCTTTTGCAGCGTAAAGATGGCATATATGGCGATGCAACTGTGGGGAACTGCTTGTTTACCTAACTGCTGGTGTACTGAAGACATTACACTGGCATAAATAACAACACAGCCACCGAAATTCAAAAATATCAACGGGTACATGAAGATTCCACGGCGGTATTTTGACCGTTGGTCTCTAGGGACACGCATTTTCAAAATCCTAACGGAAAAAAAATCAATTCTGAAGTCTTTGAATGGTTTCCTCAAGGTCAAATAGATACATTGTAACAAAGAAAATGCGGCGGGAGTTACAGCAAACGAATGAACGGACGCCTTTATGAACACAACCTCAGCGTTGCTGCGGGGATAATAATTGGCTCCAACATCTGGTGTTGGTTGTGTTGGTATGGTGGTGGGTTTTGGGGTGGGAGGAGGAGGAGGAGAGGAGGGGGCCGTTAACGTATCCTCCGCAACAACCGTATTGTCGAACGAAATAAGTCATTTAAAATGTCAATCATACCTTCGGATAACTCCAACTCCAGCTCAGCCAATCTGGCCCGCACTTCCAGTGGAAGGGGCAGCGCATCGCGGTCCGCCATTGTCCGTTCAAGGGGGTACAAATCACTCTCGTCCTCTTTCTTCGACTCTTTCAGCGCTGCTGCCGTTTCTCCGCGTCGCAGCGGTGCATAAGGAGGGCTGCGGGAGACGCGTGTCCAAGAACGAACTGTTCGGTGCTCGGAGATTTTCTGTCCCTCTCAACGAAGCCCCGCCATATCTGAAGGGCTCCGCCGTTAGAGTCAGCAGTGTAAGATGTGGACTGTCAGTGCGGTGAAGCTCGCCAATCGGGGCGGGGTGTGTGTGTGTGTGTGTGTGTGTGTGTTCGTCTCTCCAGCCCCTCTCCCTCTCTTTCTTTCTGTCACTCTCTCATGACGCAAGGCGACTGTGTTTTTTACAGCCGCGAGGGGGCGACGGAACGACTCTGTTTGTGTTTATGTTTCCATAAATAATCATTTCATCATGACAATACCTGTTCAGGTTACATTTATATTTGTTTAAATAAATACACATGAACGTAAATGAAATTACAAATCAAATATGTTAAATAAAAAGAATCAGCTTGGATTTAAATTGATCAAGTGACAGTACATTTGAAAAAAAAAAATGTCTTCAAAATGTTAAGCGACTGTTCTTAGCACAGATAAGAAATGTTTCTTGAGCAGCAAATCAGCATATTAGAATGATTTCTGAAGGATCACGTGACACTAAAGAGTAGAATAATGGCTGCTGAAACTTCAGCTTCCTCATCACAGAAATAAATTATATTTTAAATGTATTCAAATAAAAACAGGTGTTTTGAGTTGTATTTTTTTAAATGTTTCACATTTTTAAATTTAAAAACTAAATCTAAATAAAAAACTAAATGTAAAAAAGTAAATGTATATCATATCTAAAAATCTTACCAACCCCAAACTTTTGAACGGTAGTATATATAGCAATAATTGTTCTGTATTCAACAGATATATAAAAAATAATCTCCTAATATTTGAGATCACATTCAAAAAAATGGATATTTTTGAAACACAGTTTTAAGGAATATCTGGAATCTTTACAGCTTTAAGCATTAAAAAAAAAACATTTTACAGTGTGAAATCATGTCAAATGAAGAAGAAATATGTAAGAAATTTTTAGGTAACCAATCAGACATTTTATGCCATCAATCATGTGACTCTGCAAAAATGGTCAGTTGAAGCACGAGATGCTGGGTAATATGATCACGTTTTATACAAACTAGTGGAGTTCATTAAGTTTGAGTGCGGTTTTCAAATAAAGCAAAAAGGTGACAAACCAAACACTAAAAGATTCATGTGCATTTTCTGTATAATATTTGGCTATTTATCTCAAATTGTTTTGCTGATAATATAACTTGTAATAGAATATTATCTATATACACTGATAGTTTTGCATTAATACTTTAAGTGGTCGGTAGTTCAGACTAATACTGAAATACACAAAGACCTGGAGATCTTTTATTCTTGTGCTGAGGCCTACTGGTTCTGAAGCCTTAAACACAATATCTCCATAAAGTATTACTGCTTACGTTATGCCACCTTGTGGTCATACCGGTGGAGACCGCAACATTATGCCAACATTGAGAATAAACACCAAGCCTACTTAACAAGCATACAATTTCTCATTAACATTTATTTATTTTTTTTCCATACATTTTCTCATAACCAATTTTAGGGTACCATTTTAACATTTTCCAATTATTTACATCTGTACAGAGAAAGCACACACATCCGAGTGTATACATGTACTACAGTTTAGACTACAAGCATTTACACAGAGGAGAACAAAACAAAACACTAATCCCATCTCAATCCCAAAAGTATTGTGCTACACAAATGTAGTGACGAAGGCTTCGAGACGCCTCAACCACATCATCCTTTTTTCTACACTTTGGGAATTGAAAGAAAGAAAACAACAAACAAAAAAACTCCAAACTGTCATCTAAAAAGTTAAGGCAGAGACTTTTTTTTTTCAAGTTTAAATAAAATTCAAGTTTTCAAACACTGTTAATTTATATGTGATGTTTCTTTTTAATTCGTTTCTTTTTTTGAACACCTTAAAAGTTTCATGTAATGAAACCTTCATTACTTTACGCATGGTATGCTTCATTTATTGATGGAAAAATGATCAGTTGCATTCAGAAAGTCAGAAAAATCAACAAAAACATTTTTTTTTTGATTAACCGAGGGAAAAAAAATAAAAATACTCACAGGGAAAATACAAGAGAATATAAACAACATACGCCATGACGAACATCTCAACTGCTTGTTTACCTAACTGCTGGTGTACTGAAGACATTACACTGGCATAAATAACAACACAGCCACCGAAATTCAAAAATATCAACGGGTACATGAAGATTCCACGGCGGTATTTTGACCGTTGGTCTCTAGGGACACGCATTTTCAAAATCCTAACGGAAAAAAAATCAATTCTGAAGTCTTTGAATGGTTTCCTCAAGGTCAAATAGATACATTGTAACAAAGAAAATGCGGCGGGAGTTACAGCAAACGAATGAACGGACGCCTTTATGAACACAACCTCAGCGTTGCTGCGGGGATAATAATTGGCTCCAACATCTGGTGTTGGTTGTGTTGGTATGGTGGTGGGTTTTGGGGTGGGAGGAGGAGGAGGAGAGGAGGGGGCCGTTAACGTATCCTCCGCAACAACCGTATTGTCGAAAGAAATTAGTCATTTAAAATGTCAATCATACCTTCGGATAACTCCAACTCCAGCTCAGCCAATCTGGCCCGCACTTCCAGTGGAAGGGGCAGCGCATCGCGGTCCGCCATTGTCCGTTCAAGGGGGTACAAATCACTCTCGTCCTCTTTCTTCGACTCTTTCAGCGCTGCTGCCGTTTCTCCGCGTCGCAGCGGTGCATAAGGAGGGCTGCGGGAGACGCGTGTCCAAGAACGAACTGTTCGGTGCTCGGAGATTTTCTGTCCCTCTCAACGAAGCCCCGCCATATCTGAAGGGCTCCGCCGTTAGAGTCAGCAGTGTAAGATGTGGACTGTCAGTGCGGTGAAGCTCGCCAATCGGAGCGGGGTGTGTGTGTGTGTGTGTGTGTGTGTGTTCGTCTCTCCAGCCCCTCTCCCTCTCTTTCTTTCTGTCACTCTCTCATGACGCAAGGCGACTGTGTTTTTTACAGCCGCGAGGGGGCGACGGAACGACTCTGTTTGTGTTTATGTTTCCATAAATAATCATTTCATCATGACAATACCTGTTCAGGTTACATTTATATTTGTTTAAATAAATACACATGAACGTAAATGAAATTACAAATCAAATATGTTAAATAAAAAGAATCAGCTTGGATTTAAATTGATCAAGTGACAGTACATTTGAAAAAAAAAAATGTCTTCAAAATGTTAAGCGACTGTTCTTAGCACAGATAAGAAATGTTTCTTGAGCAGCAAATCAGCATATTAGAATGATTTCTGAAGGATCACGTGACACTAAAGAGTAGAATAATGGCTGCTGAAACTTCAGCTTCCTCATCACAGAAATAAATTATATTTTAAATGTATTCAAATAAAAACAGGTGTTTTGAGTTGTATTTTTTTAAATGTTTCACATTTTTAAATTTAAAAACTAAATCTAAATAAAAAACTAAATGTAAAAAAGTAAATGTATATCATATCTAAAAATCTTACCAACCCCAAACTTTTGAACGGTAGTATATATAGCAATAATTGTTCTGTATTCAACAGATATATAAAAAATAATCTCCTAATATTTGAGATCACATTCAAAAAAATGGATATTTTTGAAACACAGTTTTAAGGAATATCTGGAATCTTTACAGCTTTAAGCATTAAAAAAAAAACATTTTACAGTGTGAAATCATGTCAAATGAAGAAGAAATATGTAAGAAATTTTTAGGTAACCAATCAGACATTTTATGCCATCAATCATGTGACTCTGCAAAAATGGTCAGTTGAAGCACGAGATGCTGGGTAATATGATCACGTTTTATACAAACTAGTGGAGTTCATTAAGTTTGAGTGCGGTTTTCAAATAAAGCAAAAAGGTGACAAACCAAACACTAAAAGATTCATGTGCATTTTCTGTATAATATTTGGCTATTTATCTCAAATTGTTTTGCTGATAATATAACTTGTAATAGAATATTATCTATATACACTGATAGTTTTGCATTAATACTTTAAGTGGTCGGTAGTTCAGACTAATACTGAAATACACAAAGACCTGGAGATCTTTTATTCTTGTGCTGAGGCCTACTGGTTCTGAAGCCTTAAACACAATATCTCCATAAAGTATTACTGCTTACGTTATGCCACCTTGTGGTCATACCGGTGGAGACCGCAACATTATGCCAACATTGAGAATAAACACCAAGCCTACTTAACAAGCATACAATTTCTCATTAACATTTATTTATTTTTTTTCCATACATTTTCTCATAACCAATTTTAGGGTACCATTTTAACATTTTCCAATTATTTACATCTGTACAGAGAAAGCACACACATCCGAGTGTATACATGTACTACAGTTTAGACTACAAGCATTTACACAGAGGAGAACAAAACAAAACACTAATCCCATCTCAATCCCAAAAGTATTGTGCTACACAAATGTAGTGACGAAGGCTTCGAGACGCCTCAACCACATCATCCTTTTTTCTACACTTTGGGAATTGAAAGAAAGAAAACAACAAACAAAAAAACTCCAAACTGTCATCTAAAAAGTTAAGGCAGAGACTTTTTTTTTTCAAGTTTAAATAAAATTCAAGTTTTCAAACACTGTTAATTTATATGTGATGTTTCTTTTTAATTCGTTTCTTTTTTTGAACACCTTAAAAGTTTCATGTAATGAAACCTTCATTACTTTACGCATGGTATGCTTCATTTATTGATGGAAAAATGATCAGTTGCATTCAGAAAGTCAGAAAAATCAACAAAAACATTTTTTTTTTGATTAACCGAGGGAAAAAAAATAAAAATACTCACAGGGAAAATACAAGAGAATATAAACAACATACGCCATGACGAACATCTCAAAGCATTCTGCACGTGCTCTACGCTGCAGGAAGACATAAAAAAAAAAACGGACTGTCTCACTCGGACCAAGTCGATTTCAAACTCCAATGAGAACCAATGAACTTAACTAATGAACAGCATGACCGAGAGTGACACTGAAACGCAGTCTGCATAAAGGAGAAACCCCACAAAACAGCACTGGTCCATGTATGCTGACGGCTCAGATCTTTTTGCTCTTGATGTATATGTCACTATATAAAATGTAC